CGTTTGGTGTTATCACTATTATTTTTTAAATTTTTAGACATTCGAATAATCGTAGTGATATCTCACTGTAATTTTAATTTGCCTTTTCGGATGGCTAATGGTGTTGAAAATATTTTCATACACTGAAGTGCCAGCTTTATGTGCTGTTCAGTGCAATGTCTGTTCATGTCTTTTGGCCATTTTGTAATTGGACTGTTTGTTTTCACTCTTGAGTTTTGAGTTCTTTAATGTATTCTAGAATGTCCTTTGTTAGAAGTAGTTGGCAAATATTTTCTCCCAGTGTTTTTGTCCTCTTCACAGGGTCTTTTAGAGCAAAAGGTTTTCATTTTGAATGATTCAACTTATCTCTTTTTTCTTTCTTTTATGGATTCTGTGTTTGGTGTCTTCACACAGCCCAGGATCTGAAGAATTGCTATTATTTTTTTCCCCTAAAAGTTTTATAGTGCTACATTTTTACATATAATCCTTAATCCATTTTGAATTAACTTTTTGTATAGTTCGTGAAGTTTAGATCAAGGTTCATTTGCCTGTGAATGCCAGTAATTTCTAAGGGATCCTGGAACCAAAGATTTGTAAACTCCAATGAGGTATATGAGGGGCACTCCAAGATAGGTGTGTGCAAAGTGCCGTGGGAAGGTTGACTTTGAGCAAGGCAGTCCTAGAAGACTTCCCAGAGGAGGTGACATTTGAGTTCTGCTTTGGAGAATGATCAGAATTTTACCAAGCAGAGAAGAAACCTTGTTTACTTTTCTCAGTCTTCCATGGCCGGTGATATTCTCAGTGAGGAGGTTCATTTTGAAAAAGGGAAGTGTGGAAAATAAAGAGAAGGACCTAGGACTCAGGAAGACCTTGGTTGAAATTCTTCTTAAATAGCTAAGTTACTTACCTTTTTAAAGCCTCAGTTTTCCACTCTGTGAAATGGGGGAAATAATTTTTTCTTTTCGAGGAAACTGAGGATTAAATGAGAAAACTATGCAAACTGGCAAGCATGGTAGCTGACACATGGTAGACACTCAAAGAATGACCTTCTCTCCCCTTTCATGGTTTCCTTGACCTTTTCTCCATGTTACGAGGTTAGACCCACCCTTCGATGTTCAGCCTTTATTTGATTTCATTCTTTCCCCCCATACCGCTCTAGATCAGCGGTTCTCAACCTGTGGGTCGCGACCCCTTTGGGGGTTGAACGACCCTTTCACAGGGGTCGCCTAAGACCATCGGAAAACACATATATAACTACATATTGTTTTTGTGATTAATCACTATGCTTTAATTATGTTCAATTTGTAACAATGAAATTGGGGGTCACCACAACATGAGGAACTGTATTAAAGGGTCGCAGCATTAGGAAGGTTGAGAACCACTGCTCTAGATGCGTGGTTCTTGATGTATCAACCACCACAAATTTCCAGATACTCAATATTTAGTTGTGGAGGGCTTCTTGAAATACAGATTGCAGAACTTTTGATTCAGTGGGTCTGGTTTAAGACCCAGAATGTGTGTTTAACAAATTTCCAGGGGGATGCTGATGCATCTGGTCTGCAGACCACACTGAGAATCACTCACTGCTCTCGCTGTTTCCAATAACTGTCTCAATAGACTGTATGGAAGTCAAGATATTCACTTTCCACATGTCATAGATTCTCAAGGAAATGGCTTATTGTGTTTGTGTTTCAAAATTCACAGAAAACCCCAATGGGAAGACTTCTGGTTTTAAGATGGCTGGGTTTTGTTTTGTTTTTAATTGCAGTAAAAGAACACATGCCATGAAATTGACCTTCTTAACCACTTTTAAGTGTATGGTTTCGTGGTGGTAAGGGTACTCAAGGATGGCTGAGTTTGTTTCTATCCTGTTCTCTCTCCATTAAATCCACTCCAAACAATAAGGAGAACGTGCAACGCCCTCTCCATCTTCGGTGAAGCCAGGAGGACAGCTCTGACCCTGAAACAATAAATGAAGACAGGAACTGGGCCGGGAATGACAAACAATTGGGCAGAGTGGAGGAGGGCCGACTCTCCTGACTAAGGAGGCGCATATATTAAGGAACAGCCAAGTCACCCCAGAATCCCAGAAGCCTGAGGAATGGGCAGGACCGGCATTGCAGGAGGTGGAGGTAAAGCAGGCTCCCAAACAGTAGGATTGGCTGAGGTCCTTGTCATGGCGAATCGCCATGTAGTCAGGCACTTCTCTCCTCAGAGGACACCAAGTGGTTAATCTCTGGAGAATTTGAACCAGAGAGCCTCCAGATTTAGCAATCACAGTCCCAGCACAGGGGGAGGTGGGGATGTGGTGGGGGCTGAACTAGACACTAAAAAGCTGCGCCCTAAATGATGACACCCCAGGCTATTCCCAGCAGAATCCAGAATATCCACACGTAGGCTCATTAAGCAGCATTCTCCCCACCCCCAGCAGAGGACTGGAGCTTCATTTTATGAAGAAACCCAATAGCCCCAGAGAAAAGGCCTGCAGTCATGACGTCTGGGGCTTCGTGTGAAGTCAGGTGCAGTACAGTGAAACCCATCCGTCGTCAATCCCGTTCCGCCTGGCAAAGCTCACAGTCAGCTTGTACCGGTGGAGTTCATTCCTCATCTACTTTCCAGGCTCGTCTGAAAGAGAAGGTTTTCCAGAAAAATCCTGACCCTCCAACCTCCGTCTGGGTTGGGTGACTCCTTGGCACCTCCCCAGGCCTGTGCACACCTCCCTTGTCTCCTTCAGAGGGATGTGCCTGCTGCCTCCATGTGCAAAAGCCCCTCTCCTCCCAACAGCCTGGCTGGAGAGCCCAGTGATCATTGGTGGCAGCACCTGCTTGCCCAGTCTGGGGATAAAGTGCTTGTTAATGGGGCTGAGAGCTGGGCTGGTAGGTAGTTGGGAGTAAATCGGCTTAGGCCTTTGAATTATACTTCAAAGCTCGGCAGAAGGCAGAGCGAGCTGTCTGAAAAAAGAAAAAGGGGAAGACAGGGCAATTACTAAAACTCTTTTTGGCTCTGTTTTTAGGTTACCCAGTAGGGCTGAGCTTATTGATCGAGGTCCTTCGGAATACTATGAACTTGAACTTGGTCAAGGGAGTTGGAGGTCAAGGCAACATCCTGACTCTTTGATTCAGCACCAGATGCTGGCACCTGTCCGGAGAAGGGTGTGAGGTGTGTAAGTCAGTTCAGCCCTAATCTACATGCTAAGTGGACTACACATTATTATTTGAGGAACCCCTTTGCTTTCTTTGGAGAATTCTTCATTTTGTGAGTCTTCATGGGAGGAAAAGACTACTTCATTTCTGTTAACAGGTTGAAAGCGCTAACATTTAAAAAGAAATTCTTAGGATTTCCATCTTTCTTCTTATATTACCTCTCTGTTTAAGAATATTGTTTACTTCTCCCATCAGAGCTCTTAGCCTATTAATCATAGTTATTTTAAATTTCCAATCCGATAATTCCAACATCCCTGCTATATCAGAGTGTGGTTCTGATATTTTCTCTGTCTCTTCAAGCTGTGTTGGCCCTTTAGTATGCCTTGTAATTTTTTGTTGAAAACCATACTGCATAAAAGGAACTCCGGCCCGGCCGGTGTGGCTCAGTGGTTGAGTGTCAGTCCATAAACCAGGAGATCACAGTTTGATTCCCAGCCAGGGCACATGCCCGGATTTCGGGCTTGATCCCCAGTAGGGAGCATGCAGAGGGCAGTCTTATTGATGATTCTCATCGTTGATGTTTCTATCTCTCTTTCTCTCCCTTTCTCTCTCTGAAATTAAAAAAAGAAAGAAAAGGAACTCTGGTTCCTGTAGTGCTGCAATGGTAAGGTTAGGGGGAGGGGAAGTGTTCTGTCCTCTGATTAAGTCTGTCTTCAGTGACCCTGTGTCCTCTGGGCCTGGAACGCCACAGCGCCTCTCAGTTTTCCCTCTCTTGGAGGGACAGGGTGGCTATCCAGGGCTGGAGGTGGGTGTATTCCCCCGCTCACACCCCCCCACCCCCCTCCCCCCGGCAGCTGGGCTCTGATACAGCCCCATTAGGTAAATAGTTCCTCCTGAGGGCAGGACAGAGTGCTTTGGTGTATTTCAATGTAGAGTGTATTCCTCTCCCCCTACCAGAAGCATGAAAAGATTTTTTTTCCATTTTCAATGAAATTCCAATATTTATTGTGAGAACCTGGTTAAACTCCTGGAGGTAAAACTCACAAAAGTGCGGGGGCTTCCGGTGTCCCCGTTCCCCTAGAGTGTTTATCTCTTGGTCTTATTTGCACAGAGCCTCCAGGAACTCAACAGTTACAACGCAGGCTTTCCTACCCTGGCACTGGTCCCAGTGGGGTTTCCGCTGCAGCCCGTTGTGAATTTCTATATCCACCTGTCAGTCTCTCTGATTTTGGAGGCAGCAGTTTGCCCCATGGCCCCTAAGAAGAGTTGTTGATTTTTCAGTTGACTCAGCTTCTTACTTGTTAGGACAGAGTGACAACTTCCAAGTTGAGCTATACTACTGTAAAATACACGTAACAGAGATTTATCATTTTAAGCATTCCTGAGTGTTCAATTCAGACATCAAGTACATTCACATTGTTGTGCGACCATCACCCCCATCCATCTTCAGAACTTTCTCATCACCCCAAACTGAAACTCCGTACCCATTAAACAATAAACCCCCATTCTGTACATGCTAACGTTTATATTATTGATTGTTGATGCTGTCATTATTATTATTATTATTATTATTATTTAGTGATAATAATAATAGTAATTGTTCTATTAGGACATTGGGCATCATTCTCAAGGGCATGCAGGGGACGGGGCACCATGACATACTTTTAAGAAAGGGGCTGGTGGAACCAACAGGTATGTTTAGAGAGGGTCCCCGGTGGGGAAAAACTGGGGCTGAGTGCGGTGTTGATGTTCATTCAAGTCAGAGCCACACAAGCTGCCCAGAACATCCGTTCTAAATGGGCACATTGATCAGGGTAAATGTCCTGCGTCCACATTGACTTCGTTTCACTGGTTTTGTTTTATTGTTTCATTCCGCCCAGGAACCTTGGAGCTCTCAGAGATGAATGGGAAGATTCCATGTGCTAATCTCATTTCCAAATGTAATTGGCACCTGAATTACGAAACCCTGCTTCCAAAGGCTGCGCTCACAGAGCCATCCATCCTCCCTCCATCGAGGTGGGCCAGCGTGCCCCTCTGATGCATGGTCACTGCTCCAGCAACGGAGAAGTAGTGGAGCTGCTACAACCTTTTGGAGGGCAACTTGGTAGTAGGAGTCAAAATTTTATATTTGCAGAACCATCAGCCCCAAGATTTCATTTCACAGATTTAATTCCTCTCAAAGAAGCAATTGGACAAGTGGGTAAGGCTATTTGTACAGAGATGTTCGATGCAGCTTTGTTTATCATTGTGAAAAACTGGAAGCATTTTAACTGTCCAACAATAGAGGACAGTTTACATTAAGTATGGCACACTGAAAGGTTTATTTACTGTGTTGCCAGAGACGAGGTAGAGTTGTATGTAAGGAAAAACCTCCACAGTATCCAGGCAGGGCCTGTTTCCCAGTAGAGTGACTGACTGTCAGATTATAATACCCAAACCTGATAGTGTACAGTATATGTGTCTCTCAACAATGCTTTTGGGGCAACTGTTTATATTAAATTATATCTATACGCCTAAAATTCAATAGGACAGTTCAAACAAAATTACTTGGGGAACAAAGTTTCACATTAGATCCCAAATAAAGTTGGTAGGTCAGAGGTACGTGTAGAAGTGTGGAAAAATCAGTCGCGTGACCCAGACGGTCTAGTACCAGCCAGTCGGGCTGATGAATGCGGTGGAAGTCACGGGTGACACATCCAGGGACGCTTTTACAGGAGGAATAGAGCCCATTTTCTTGCCTCCTTTGGCCTTTTCTGCCCCTTCCTGCCTGGAATATTGATGTGTTGCCTGGAGGCGCAGCAAACACCGTGCAAATATGAGGCTGCAGAAGCCGGAGAGGAAAGTCTCTGCTCTCTGGCAAAGGGTTAAGGAGGCGAGAGGAGGCGTGCCCGGGATGCCTTGTTACACGAGACATATAAGCCTTTCATGGTTTACATCTCTTTTCTCATGTCTTCTGCCATATGCTTCCAAACGCTCTCCTGATACAGCTGTTGTTTTCCTTTTCCCTTCTTAAAAGCAAATGATGAAAATATTCCACGTACTAATCAATATAACTGGATGAAACAAATAAAAAGATACAGCAAAAAGTCAACTGTGCTAACAAGGGTTGTGCACCTCACTGTTGCCAGCAGCAAGAGAGGCCAGTAAGCAAACATTTAACAACCAATTTAACTGCCGATGATGTGGAAGTCATGCTAAGCATCTTACATCGCAACATGTTAGTTTTAAAAAAACATACACATACACACAGTTTACCGAGTTTTAGTAAAATTTCAGGGAATTGGTTTAGGGTTTTGAGCTAATGCGTATATAATATTCCCTATTTAATATAATGGAAATAAGCTTCCTTTTGGCATTTTTGTTAAGAACTTCTTAATGAAAATTTTAGGGCCCACTTAGTGATATTAAGTGGAATATGCCAGGTCTGGGAGGGGATCCTACTGCCCTAAGACCAATCCCTATCTCCGCTGGTCTCCAGGTGCAATTCTACCCTTTCCCTCTTCCAGAGCCCAGGATCCATCCACCTGTGATCCTTGCAGCCTGCCCCTC